GCTGCTTGTCTTCATCATCGTCTCTTTCATCGACTTGACTTTCATAAGTACTTTCATAATCAGTTTCACCAACTGATTCTTCTGCTGAAACGTTATCTTCTTGATTTTCTTCAATCAGCGTACTGTCTTCATTCCTCTGCTCTTCGTCAGAAGTTGATACCTGATATTCAATATCTTGTCTTTGATCTTCATAGTTCTCTTTTCTATGCAATTGTGTACAAAAAAAACAAATCCTGTTGTTCTGATTCGATTTCATGAGAGAGTATCGTGGATTCATCGAATACAACGTTTCTACCTATTTCAATTGAACGTGTATCTGCATTCCACAATCTAAATCCATTGTTTGCGTAGCCCACAAAAATCAATAGTTTAGTTTTCGGATCTAGTTTATGACGTTTTTCCTTGGCGATTTGCTTGAAAGCTCTGCATCCGAAAATTCTCAAATGCTTCAAGTTTGGCTTCTTTTTAAACCACATTTCATATGGAGTTTTGTTTTCTTCTATCCCATTCGTAGGAGATCTGTTGATTAGGTATGTTGCTGTATATAATGCTTCACCCCACATTGCTTTAGGCAATTGACTATCGTAAAGCATTGCTCTTACCTTTTCCATAAACGATCTATTCATTCGTTCACTTACTCCATTTTGCTGTGGAGTGTATGGGACTGTGAACATCATTTGAATTCCGATTTTCTTACAATGATTTTGGAATTCAGTACTTGTGTATTCTCCGCCATTATCACATCTAAGCATAGAAATACGTGCTTGAAAATATGAAGATGCCATAGCTTCAAACTCCTTGAATCATTCGAAGACTTCAGATTTGTGTTTCATGAGGTAGACCACGAGAAAATGAGTATAGTCATCAATGAAGGTTACAAAGTAGCGGTAACCATCATACGTTTCCTCTTCCATACTTCCACAAACATCTGAGTGAATTAACTCCAATGGTCGTTTTGATCTTGGCAATTTCATATCCTGAAATTTGAAAGCGGATTGCTTTCCTGCCAGACAGCCCTCACAAATACTTGTTTGATTCCGTTCTCCATATGATAGATTGATACCCTCAACCATCCCTTTTGACATTAGTTTCTCCAAACCTGTAGCACTCAGGTGTCCCAGTCTCTTATGCCAAGTAGTAAGACTCACCTGTTTTCCAATCAGTGCAGAAAATGTTGCATTTTCTGAGGACTTTCCATCCCAAATACAATCAAGGTAGAACAAACCATCAATGAAACTTCCTGAAGCAATGACTTCATCTTCAGACTCAAAGACAACCTCTTTATTCGTAAAAGTGACCCTTTTCCCATGCTGGCTTGCCTTTCTAACCGAAAGAAGATTTTCTTCAAGTCCAGGAATGAAAAGAACATTGTACAATTCAAGACTCTTTATTGAATTTTTGCCAACAACGCTCTTCAATCTCAACTTACCCATCTTCGTTGCCCGAAGATTTTCACCTGTCTTCATCGTTGATCATGTGATCCTGGCACCTGAATCAACAACGAATTTCACGCGTTTGGCACGATTACGCGGGGCATTCGGCTTCACCATCATGGCATGGCCTTTTTTATTGTGATTTTTCCCATTGGATTGTTGACCACGCATCCATTTTTCCTTCTCCTTGGCGATGAATTTCTTCATTAAAGGGCATTTGTTTTTATAATGCCCAGTTTCGTTGCATCCGAAACATCGTATAACCTGCTTCGATGCCAGAGCGACGTTTTTCTTCTCCTCTTTCTTCTCTTCTCCAGCTTCGGCGTTCAAGAACATTCTTTTTATATCTACTGTCGATTTCTTGCACAGCTCATCATTCGGAAGCACCAGCAAAGCTCCTTTTACATGTTTGATATTGCAATCAGGAGAGCATGGATTTTCTCGGCTTGAGAAATTCCCGATCCCATCCTGTCCAGCTCTCTGATAATGACGTCGTATTCATCAAATATCTTCCGAAGTGAGTCTAAGTTACGGTGCTTCATCGAGAATAATCTTTCCCGCATACTGACCATAGCCGCGGTACCCGCCATTTGGTACGTTTTGACCAATACATCCATGGCTTGTTTCGCATATTCCACGCCAATGATTTTATTCAGGACATCATTGTTTACAAGCATGACTATTTCATCGAGTGCCTCGATGTCATCATCCACCCGTTTCTTCAGCTTCTCCTTTCGCGCTTTTTCCATCTCCGCAGTAGCCCCTTCAGTCGGCTCGAAATAGTCTTCCTCGTCAGGAGTTTTCACCAGCGTATTCGATAACTTCAACTTTGCTAGGTGATGCTCCACACGCCATTTCCAAGCGGGAAACAAGAACTCAGTGCCGTCGAAAATATTGGCACGATCCGCGCCTCGGACTACTGCTGTGTATGGCAAGGCACGTTCGAGAGTTCCCCTCTCGTAACCGCCATTGCCACCACTTCCTTGTCCGCCGGGGCCATCCTTCCGCAAATCACACGGTCGTCTGCTGGATCGGCTGGTCGAACGGTCGTCTTCTGGCTCGACAGGTATAAATCGAGGTGGTCGATGAGTTCGTGTATTTGGGCTCACTGGTGACCGCCGAAAATGATATCAGCAGAGAAATTCAAAGACGCATTATGGCAGGGAATCGTGCCTACTTTGGACTCCGGGCGACGCTCCGGTCAAATAAAATAAATTGGAGGACCAACGCGCCCTTGGTGTTGTCGAACGGAAGATGTTGCGTACCATCTACGGTGGAGTGCAGATGGATGACGGAACGTGGAGGAGACGAATGAACCATGAATTGCACCAGCCGCTGGGAGAACCATCCATCGTCCAAAAATTGGGTGACGGTGGGTTGGGCACGTCGTAAGAATGCCGCACGACGACCCAGTGAAAATGGTTCTAGAAAGCGACCCAACAGGAACAAGAAGAAGAGACGCGCAGTGGGCAAGGTGGATCGACCAAGTAGAAGGCGACCTGCGGACCCTTCGCAGACTACGAGGCTAGCGATCTGTGGCATCTGTGGCCATGGATCGAGTAGAGTGGAGACGACTTCTTCGGACAGCAGAGGACAAGAAGGCCTTAGTCTGATTGGTAAGGAAAGTATCTTTTGTAACAAACTCAAATCTGTATCTCTTATGCATGATGAATAAGAGCGAAAAGAACCAACCATTGTTTTTCAGTGAATGTAAATTGCATTCACTGAAAAACAATAACATGTTCTGCCAGCTCTATTTCATCATGCATAAGAGATTCAGATTTTAGTTTTCAACAAAAGTTGGAGTTAATATCAAAAGCTACAAAAGCTTCATACATCATTTAACGGTATTCTGTTGATGAAAAAGGTTTCATGTTCATTTTTTTCATTTTCAAGCACAGTAGGGGGTCATATGGCCAGGTCTCCAGTAAAACATCACTGTCCATACAGCACACAAGGGTAGAGGTAAAGATTTGGCACCACAGAATAATAATCACAGGGATCAATTGAATCCTGCTTAAGATGCCGGACAGGGAGGGATAGTGTTTCAAGTAGGGGATAGTCGGAGTAACAGTAGTATTAGTAAAAGTTGGAAAGTAAACGTACAGAGGACCATGTTTTGCAATACCTGTAATTCTTGTTTTATGATTTCATTTACTTGTGTTATTGATTAGTTTAGTTATTGATAATGTACTTACATTTTGTTATCTACTTAGCTGCTAAAATCCGTAGAAAGGCTCCTCTTCGCTGTCCGGAGTCGAAAATCCTTCGACAATCGTACATCATCTTCCGTGTTTTCCGTGCTCACGGTTGTATGCCAATTCCCTCCAATGCGCCGTTGTAGTGTTGCTTTATTCGAAGTCCTGAGACTCGTTTTCCACGTGAAGCAGGGTCGTCCTAGTTTATTTTTTCCATGCACGCGGTAATTGAGAGCTTTCCCTAGCATTCCTTGGGATGTGTTCCTTACCACATGTCCAAAGTAGTTTAGCCGTGACACTCTAATTTTATTGTTGATCGTGTGGTTCCCCAGTTCTCTGACTGCAATATGTTTGGACTGCCTTCTTGCGCTTTGTGAGTCATTGATAACAGTTTGTGGCGGTTGTTCTGGGCTTTCATTGGTGAATGCCTCAGGATGCTGTCTTGCTTCAAAACTAAGAGCCTTTAGAGCTGCGAGCATGGTGAGAATTTCTGTTGCTTTTGAGAACAGTCGCAACTTCCATTGAGTGAGTCACGATCGGAGTTAATATTCTTGAAATACTTGACGTTTTGAATGAAACATTGCCATTTCCAGACTTCGTGTTGTTAGTTTTCTTGAAGGTTTGTTTTGTCTTTCGCTTCGTATTTCTATTAATTGACTCTATAAATAGATTTAAAAAAAACATAAACAAACACAACTACAGAGTGTAGAATCTTTGTGATGATACTTTCCAAACGTGCAAATCCATAGAAATAAATCCAATTCAATAAAGGATTGATTTCCACTGCGACTAAATCCAGCATTCCTACTAACATATCAAATGCTGTGCTTAATCATTTATTATTAGTACAGAGCAATAAACAATGTACGGTGATGATTAATCTGTTAATATGCTTTTATAAGCGGGTTCAAATGCACTTTTGGTAAGCATCAACACTGATCTGGCAACACTAGTGTGCATCTTTCCAATGTGGTAAAGATCCAGATCAGCCCTGGGACCTGGTAGCCTAATTAAACTACCTCAAGGTTTTGCCAAAGCCCAGGGTATTCTGTTGATGAAAAAAGTTAGAAGCAAATGAATGATAATGAATGCACGAAATGAATGTAAATGATTTTCCATCCCTGCTCTGTGTTCCATGGATAAGAATGAATGGCAGAATGAAAGAGATGACAACTTTACATTGCTGCACCTGTTCTTGATGACATGTAGGGTTGCGGCCCGTGATGGAATATTTTTAGGCTTACCGACTTCTCCGATAGGAACCGTTTACATTGTAAATGTAGCATGCTCCAAGCCATGATGATGAGACATATGTTGATCAAAGGCCGAAGGAATTTCTTTCCTAACAATAAACAAGACAGCTCCAATATATGTCAACATTTTTTCGTGCTATTCTCATGGGATTTATGGATTTTGCTTGAGTTTCCAGTAAAGATGTAATTGCTTGTATAAGGTGTAATAGATAGAATGATATAATCTTAATAATAATAATAATAATAATAATAATTATAATAATCTATCGATATCATTCAATTGTCTCGTTCGCGAAGGCTGCGTGCACAAATTACGTAGCACATGATGGGATGGGGAGGGAGTATTGTTACACAGAGGGGAGGGGGTAATGACACATGTTTCGTAACAGATAGTCCAAAGTGAAAAACAAATTACAAAATCGAAAAAGAAAATTTTGCTGTTAAATAAATTCACGCGCCCCTTGTAATTTTAGAGAGGGGAGTCAAGGCAAGACAGAGACCAAAATCCGAATTGTTTGCATTACGTAATTTGTGTACCGCGCCAAAATCGCGTTTCGTTTATTTTCATTTTCCACCCATACTCTTGTTTTCGTTCGAACCGTATTTTCCATACAAACAAAAAAAGTTTTTTTTTGTATGGAAAATACGGTTCAAACGAAAAATGGGTGTTTGTCTCGGATCGTTTGCGTTCGGAAATGGAACCTAATAGCACAATTATTGCTCAATTTTTTTCTTGTATAATAATGATATGAAAACAATACTCGTTTTTCTCTTTCTTTTTCAAAATATATAAACCTATCACTAAGGAAAGCCAATAACAGTTTGACTAATAAATAAAATTGTATATATATAAAAAAATGTAAGTAGGTAAAGTAGATTGCTGAAGTAGGTGGTTTGCCCCAAAAAGATCGTGAATCATGTGTTTTTCTTGTTTTATTTGTTGTTGGTTTGTCATGCAATTGGTTATCCTTCCTGTGGGCTATTCGCTGTAGTCTGTAGTGACTCCTTCTTGTAATCTAGCTACTTTCGTTCCTAATAATTCAATAATTCCTACATTATAGAACAAACGGGTTTTTAGCTACGCCTTTCATGCCTTTCTAGTAGAGTTATAAGTAGTTTTAAGCACATTCACTTACAGATCCTCTCGGTAGGATAGAGATAGTATGAGACACCTAGAACGTGAGAAGAGCATTTCCGCTCCTTATGAGATTGTACAATCCATGTCGCCCTGTTTGGGTAATCCCTCTAGCACCGAAGCGACCGCCCTCGCAATGTACGTCATCGTTCCAAAGCTGCCGCTGGGAGCGCTGTCGTACAAGTGCTGGCAAATGTACGCCGCTCCTCCGCAGAGCAACAGTCCGGCGGTGGTCGTTTCCCGGATGTCCTTGTTCTTCGCGCAACAAAGCATTGCATCGCCGCGGGTTTGCCGTTGATCCTCCAGGAACAGTTGGTTTGCCTTGTGAACCAGATGTTCCACGTAGATTATGTCCCCTAGCGAGGCAATGATGTTATGTTCGGTTACCAAGGTCAGGACCATCAGGGCTTCTACCACCAACTGACGATACTCGGGCTGCGGGATAGTGTTGAGGGCGGTTTCGACTTCCAGTGCAAACTTAAGCTCGTTCGGTGTCATCTCCTGTGTGAGACTCTGCGGCAAAATTCGACCCTCAATGGCCAATCCCTGGCAACGTTCCAGCACCGTCCAAACCCGCGGATAGAAATCCCGCGGCACTCTGTTCAGTGCTCCATCCAACCGACGTCGTCTCAACCACTGACCTTGACGATCGTCAATCATCGAACTCTCCGCTTCTTCCGGTTCCTTACCCAGTCCAATCTGACTCTTCTTGCTGACACGACTCGATTTGCAACTCACGATCGAGATATTGCCCCGAGCTACGCTGTTGATTGCGAATTCCTTACCGCTGAGTATGTGATGCAAAAGGTTCTTCATCTCAAACGGAGACAAGTTCAGCAGATGTTCGGAAGCTTGCTCTCCATCGCAGTTCAAGGTGCGTGACAGTTCCTTGGCCATAACCTGAATGATGAGACCGACGCGCAGTCGAAGCATCTCGTGGAACAGCTGGGGCTCCGTTCGGATGAACATGGCCAAATAGACGAGCAATTCCTGAGTCAACATTGCCGTACTTTCGTCGTCTCCGTACGCTTCGTGAATCAATGTGCGAAGTTCCGTTTCCGGTAGGGGTGCAGTGATGGTGTACTCACTGTTCGGTGGCATTCCGACTGTAACCTGTACGGAAAATCCATCTGTTTAGCTAGTTTACTTGAAATGAGAAACTTCAACCGAGCGAAACACAAACCTGCTTCTGTCGGACGAGCAAATCGGTGACGGCCTTGGCCAGATCTTCGACCCTCTTGCCGAGCATTCCGGCCGTGTGACGCACCAGACCCCACATCTTCTGCTGGCAGGCCTTCTCGTACAGTCCCTTCAGCAGTCCGCGAACCGTGACGACACGGCCCTCCTCTAGCATGCCTTGTGGTTGAGAATCGTCATTAGTGCTGCTGACCAGCTCTAGGAGAAGGCAAAAAGAGCCAAACCCGAAACAAAAGATTCCCGCCGTGCCACCCGCAAAGTTACACATACACCCAGGCAGCACCCACGAGGTAGCAGCGGCGGCAGCAGAAGTAGCAGAAGTTGCAGGAAGCACATTCAAGTCGAGTCGATTCGGTTTGTTTGTGGTTGTGGTTTCATGTTGATGGCAGCACAGTAACAACATTCGCAGTATTTATATGTATGTGTGCGTGTGTGTGTGTGTGTATGTGTGTGAAACACTCGTACGTGTACGAGTGTTTGTGATACAGTTTTGGTGAAAGGCGTAAGTGTAAGTGTATTATTCAATTGTGAATTCAGTGTGTATGTGTGGATGTGTATATGTCGAACCATTCGGAACCGAAGAAATCAAGCAAATGAAATCATATTAGTTTTCTGTTGTTTTTAGTGAACGCATTGTTCGCAAAAGTGTTTGAATACCATTTTATGAATGCAAGCCAAACCAATAAACAACACAATTTGCGTTTTTTTTTTTTGATGAATTTTGAATTTGTAAATTTTGCACTAACGAACACACAAAACCAGAATGCCAAATGAACAAATATATTCAAACACAAACACGTAGACTTTCTGCTGGTTGGAGAGAATGGAAAAATCGTTTGTTTAGGGTTTTTTTTTTTATAATACGGTAATGACCCGATGTTGTCAGTCCCCTTTTCGAAAATCTTTTACAAGAAACCCGTGATCTTTTCCAGCATATCTTAAACATCCATCTTCAAGATGAATGGGAAAGATTAGGAGTCACAAACTGTAACTTACAGTTATGTGACATTATTGAAAAATAGAAGTCTGATGCGCGGAGGGGCTGACAAATCATAATCTAAATGAAAAGTATCTACATCGCTTTTCTCATTTCTATTTCCAAAATAAAACTCTGTCTCGGTCTCCATTTTGAAACAGAAATCGAACTTCCCATCGCTGGTTGCTAAACATTGTAGGGGGCGATTTTCATCTGCGACTGACAACTATCTTAAAAAATAATTAAAATAAGCCTTTTAATGAGGTTCAACGGTCCGGAAGCCTTTGCTCTGATACCACTAGGCCTCTACATTTTCGAAGCTCAAAAATGAGCTCAAGTTTTTTCTTCTGTCAAGTAACGTGTTTAACAAACTTAAAACGAAAGCCTGACTGATTTACTCGCCTTGTTTTGCTCACTTCCTTTCAATGAAAGCACCGTCGGTTTTCGAGTTGAAACGCAGCCTCAAATTGGCTGTCAATTCCTTTCATCAACACTGACACATTAAAAACGTTTTTCAAAATTTATATAGAATCACAGTAGGCATTAGTTGTCAGGATAAGTTCATTTGCTTATATTATCATGCCTTCACCGGAGCAAGCACGTCGCGATTCTATCCTGCACGCTCGAAACGAAAATCCCGGTCTATCCAAGGGGGGGAGGTGGCTGTCAAATACGAACAATCGTCGCCTACCTCGCATAACTGGTTCCAAACGTAAACAAGCCATAAGAAACCTACAGCGTTTGTTTACGTTTGGAACCAGTTTCATACAAGATGATCAGTAGGCTGATTTGACAGCACGTCCCCCCCCCCCCCAGGGTCTATCCGCTCCTGGCAGTTTTCAATCAAATCCCTGCTTGACCGGAAGAATGTAAAATCAAAAAGAAGTCGAAATTCCCCAAAAAGTTTCTTGTCTGCCAAGCAATCTGCAGTTGGGGGCTGAAAAGCGAAACTTTCGTTACTTCTGGGACCATGAACCAGCAAATTTACCAGGTGGTGAGCCTACGGAAAAGACTACTGCCTTTTCTGGAGCAGCATGAGGTGGATTGCCTATTCTGGCCGAACTTGGAAAAAAACAGACATATAAGTCATGAAACTTTGATTGATATATTCTATGAAAGGCTAGCTGACCGAAGTCGAGCGCTCTTTCACTAGTCCGCTTCACCGAAGCTCGAAAGGAACACGAATGATGCGACGGGAAAAAGGCAGACAAACAATAGAAAATTTGTTTGTAGTCGCCGGCAGAGGTGCTAGAATGATGCGAAGCTGCTCGACTGCAACTGAAAAGAAAACTAGCAGTCTCTTCTTTGCATTTGTCGATTGAAGCTAATATTTTGACGCCGCATTATATGATGTATAATTAGGGTGGGTGAGCCAGTAGTGGAGGTACTAAGCCAATTTATTAATATGCAAATAAATATACGATGTACACACAATTGTCATACGTCAATCTATAGCTTTCAACCTCTTTTTTGATAGAAACATATAACATTGTAATAAAATTGCATACAATTTTAGAAAACTCATCTTCCATTAATAGGAACACTGTTCCATTAGTTGTGGTAGTTGCTAACTTTGGTTCCTATAATAGTGGAATGCGTTGGTTTCTCATGGGTTCCACTGTTATAGGAACACTATCGCAACTATAGGTGCAAAGGAGTGAAAATCTTAAGGAAAATTAATGATTTTCCGTAATTTTTGGGCTTATTTTAAGTTTGAAATATGCAAATATGCTTTATTTTAGGACAGCTACCGATGAAAAATAATCTTATCCGGATCTTCCTCACTATTTCGGCACAACCGGGATACCGCAACTATAGCTACACCACTATTACTGGAACACCTACCCTATCAGCTATTAGAAAACATATCTCGCTCAATACGAGAAAAAGGCCTATCATTGTTGATCGAATTTCTTCATCGATTTTCTCTTTCGCGAATAACCCGACTGCAAATGAATATTCCATTCAGTGTGTTGTTTCAGGCGCAAGCTAACATCTTCTTCAGTCGAACTGTGCTGCCCAGGTAACAATTTGATGCTTAACAAGTGTTGTTTAATCGATTTTAATTCAGCCTTAGATTGAATAATTGCTGTACATAGACCACGTTAACCTTTGTTCAGCTTTTAAACATCTAAATCTGGTGATTTTCATCAGCCAAAATCTTAACGGTAATATACATTGTAAGCTTTTTATGGCATTAAATAACAGTATTTTCTTCTGTATTTATTTCAAAAATAATAATGGAAGACCGCCTCATATATTATGCATTTATATGGAGCTGCTTTAACTTGTTGCTGACTAACTGGATTTACATATTTAGATTGATAATATAAGTCTAAAAATTACCTTTGCATTTCGGGATTCGAACCGGCAGTATCAATCATATCTACTGGACCACTTAAGCATATGTGTGGCAAAAGGTATGATCGTTGACTTGAAGCACGTCAAATTTAAGTTAAATAACAGCAACCGGAAGAGTATTATACAGCAATGCAGATTTGTTAACAAGAACTGGTGACAGTAAAACATTCCTCTCATTTTCAAGTGCAGCGTGATTTATTTCGATGATCATTTGGATGCTATTTTAGTGCCATAATGTAGTAATATTTTTGGAATGCGCTCTGAAGCTTCAGTGCAATATAACATACAAAACACAGGAATACAAATGTTAATACTTCCGACGTCGTCGCAGCCCACATCTATCTGGAGCTATTTCGAAAAATCTCCTCTTCCTTGTCTCTACTGCTGCAACTGCTTGTAATTAGAAAGGTTGGTACTGAATTTAGAAGAACTAAAATGCCGGAAATGCAACGAGTGGCACAGATACTGACGACATTTAACAAATCAAGCTATCAAAATATGTGTAACGCATTGCTGATTTGTGGAGTTGCGTTGAGCTTAAGTAAGGCTTGTTAAATCTTTAGAGCAGCTAACTTATTGAGGTTGGATTATGGGGATACAATTCGCTTCATGCACTACTAATCAACTGTATATTCAGCCTGATGTCAATCAGCTTTGTACACCTTAAATCAACCAATAATCAGCTTCTGTTCTTACTGTTCAGCTTGAATTGTTACTTGGGTGCGAGCTTAGCGAGAAGTTCGTTTATTTTGCCATGGTAAACCAATGAGAAAGTCGATGAAGAGAATTGATCAAAGATTATAGGCCCTTTTCAAATGTTACGCGAGATATAGTAACAAATATATTTACTTTCTAGAAAATCTTAAGTGACAGTACAAGTCAGCTACCCGGCCGGTGATTTACGGACGCTGAATCGTATCACGTTGGGTCCGAAATATTAACTTATTTGTGAAACCACAAAAGACCAAGTTTCTTCTATCAGTCGCAAGAGGCACTACGATCGATTCAAAATTATCGATCTACTTCCTCCAGAAGCCCTACAAGCTTCCTCAAAAAGTCCTATGAAAATCTTCCAGATCTTCTAGTGGACTTCCTCCAGACCTTCTTGTAGATTTCATCCAGATCTTCCTGTGGTCTTTCTTTGAACCTCCTGCAAATCTTCCTATGTACCTCCTCCAGATGCTCCTATGGATTTCCTCTAGATTTTCACATGAACTTTCTCCCAGATCTTCCTGCGAACTTCTTCAAAATATTCATGTGGACTTCTTCCTGACGATTTACTCTAGATCTTCCTGTGGAATTTTCCCAAAACATCTATCGGACTTGTTCCAGATCTTTCTGTGGACATCCTCCAGGTTGTCCTGTGAACTTTCTCCAGATCTTCCTATGGCGATCAAGATTGTTCTGTGAGCTTCCTCCAGATCTTCCTGTTTAATAATTCCAGATCTTATTGTGGAGTTCCTCCAGATCATCCTATGGAATTCCCCCAGATTTTCCTCTGGCCTTACAATAGACTTCCTCCAGATTTTCCTGATAACTTTCTCCAGATCTCTCTATGGAATTCTTCCAGATCATGCTGTGGCGTTACAATAAACTTCTTCTAGATTTTCCTATGGAATTCTTCCTGATTTGTCTGTGGACTTCCTCCAGATTTTCCTGTGAACTTCTTCCAGATCTTCTTATAAAATTTATCCAGATCATCCTTGGCACTTCTTCCAGATCTCCTTTAGACTTTGTCCAGATCTTCCTTCCAGTAGGCTTCCACCAAATCTTCCTGTGAAGTTCTTCCAAATATTCATGTGGACTTCCTCCAGATTCTCCAGACGACTTTCTCTAGATCTTACTGCAGAATTTTTCTAAA